ACGAGCCATTGCTTTTGACCTGGGCAGGAGTCCAGCAGAGGAAGAACTCTTGGCAGGATGGCACCTTGGGTACAATGTGCCCAATTTTGCCCGGACAGAACTACACCTATCATTTCCAAGTCAAGGATCAGATTGGAAGCTATTTCTACTACCCTACTGTAGGCTTGCAAAAGGCGGCCGGTGGCATGGGTCCTCTGAACGTCCACAGTCGTGACCTCATCCCCGTTCCTTTTGACTGGCCTGCAGATGAGTACAACGTTCTAGTTGGCGACTGGTACACCAAAGGCCACAAGGCCTTGAAGAACATGTTGGACAGCGGTCGATCACTTGGCAGGCCCGACGGCATTCAAATCAATGGCAAATCTGCCAAGGTGGGTGACAATGTTGAGCCCCTTTTCACCATGGAGCCTGGAAAGACCTACAGATATCGGGTGCAACGTAGGGTTGAAAACCTCCATCAACTTCAGGATCCAAGGCCACCCCTTGAAACTCGTAGAGATAGAGGGTTCTCACACCGTCCAGTATGATTTCGATTCCCTTGACGTTCACGTTGGCCAGTGCCTTTCTGTCTTGGTCACGCCGACAAAGAGCCCAAGGACTACTATTTTGTAGCTTCCAGCAGGTTCATCCAGGCGCCACTCTCCTCGGTAGGCATCATCCGTTACACCAACGGGAAAGGCCCTGCCTCTCCTGAGCTCCCACCTTCCCCACCGGTAGGCTCAGCAGGCATTGCATGGTCCATGAATCAGTTCCGCTCATTCCGATGGAATCTCACTGCCAGTGCTGCTCGTCCCAATCCTCAAGGCTCCTACCATTATGGCCAAATCAACATCACTCGCACCATTAAGCTCGTCAACTCTGAGTCTCGTGTTGGGGGAAAGCTTCGTTATGCGATCAACGGTGTCTCCCACATAGACACCCCAACTCCATTGAAGCATGCAGAGTATTTTGGTGTCGCTGACAAGCTGTTCCAATATAACCTTGTCAAGGATGACGGATCGGCAGTCAACACCCCAGCGCCGATCATCGCCCCAAGTGTGGTGAACGCTACTTTCCGCAACTTCGTGGAGATCATCTTTGAGAACCACGAGAAGACCATCCAGACATACAATCTTGATGGCTACTCCTTCTTTGCAGTGGCAGTTGAACCGGGAACATGGAGCCCGGAGAAGAGGAAAAACTACAACCTCCTTGATGCCATAAGCAGGCACAACGTTCAAGTTTACCCAGGATCCTGGGCAGCCATCATGACAACTCTTGATAATGCTGGAATGTGGAACTTGAGGTCAGAAATGCAGCATAGAGCTTACCTAGGCCAGCAACTCTATTTCAGTTCTTATCCCCTGCACGCTCCTTGAGAGATGAATACAACCTTCCTGACAACCAGCCGTTGTGCGGTGGAATTGTGGAGAAGTTGCCATTGCCCGCTCCATACACAGCTTAATCTCGTTATGAATAGAAATAGGCATTCATTGATTTGAATAGGGAGAGCGTTCAAGAGGACCACAGGATTTGTAATACTGGGGATGGAACAGGAGAGATCGGCAGTTAAATGCATGTATTAACATTGGCCTCGAATAAATTTTCCCTTTTTCATTTGTGATCTGTTTCCTATGTTGCTTTTTTTCATCTTTTGCCTTCCATTTAGATCATTTTCACGGCAACTATTAACCAATGTGATCATATGCAGGCCTTCTTTTTCCCGAATTTATCTTCCATTTAGATACTTTTCACAACAAATGTTAACCAATGTTATCATAGAATATGTGCACTTTTTTTTTGGCTACTATTTTATTTATACTAAAAAATTTGAAAGCCTTCAACTCCGTTTATTATCACAAGTCAAGATATGCCCTAAAACTATCAATCGTATTTATAGATTACCTACCAACGCAATTCTCACATTTGCAATACTACACTATGCGAGAGAGGACAGACCCAATTGCATTATTAGGAATCGGAGGGAACTAAAACACTCATGGGTCATACATCTTATTCATTACATGGAATTATAGAACCAAAGGTCTAGAAATTGTGCAAGTTATCCCCCCATAAAATTTCCTGCCACATCTTAGCTTAGCTTTGACGAACTTAAATGCTGAGCACACATTTGTTTTGCAGTGTGTGCTCACTAGGTAAGGAAGGAGGGTTTTGCTAGGTTATTGGAAAGAGTTACTACACCTCGGCTCTGTTGGGCGTGTCCTGTGGTCAGCTGGATGCAACTAAGTTGATCGATATGGTCATTGATAGCAACCTCTAATAAGATTAATATCGAATTCTCCAGTATTAGGCTCCTTGTGGCTTTTACATGCCTTCGATAAATTTGGAAAAGTACAACACCAAAAGCTACCTACAAGGTACCCGGCCACAGCTCCATAGTTCACACAAAGTGGTCAATCCCACAAACTAATTCATATTACTACAGTAGAACGGGCTCCAAGCATAACAACTGAACAACATACTGCAAACCAAGGCTGAACAATATCCAACAATCAGAATTTGGGCACCTGCAGGGTCGAAGTCATATGGTCAACTACATCAACCAACTACTAGTGCAGCCAACTTGCCCTCAGAGATTCTACATAATAACATAAAACATAAAATAAATACATCACTCCATGGAACTATGTTTAAAACCCCTCATCATCTCTGCATTGTTCACCAAAACACAGTTTCACGAGCTTGGTGCAACATTCATCCCACAAAAATCGTCGTACTGCCTCTTTATATGAAAAGGCCAAGTCAACCACCTGATCTCGTAGAGAAATCTTAGGAGTTGATGTACTAGGGTTCTCTACGCCTCGTTTGATTTCTTGCTAAGAGGCTCTAGCCTCCCCTGTGCACTAGTTCAATTAACGGTCCGAGTTTTAAAATATTGGTTACAAGAGAGCTAACGTGATTATGGTATTGAATTGAACGAAGAAGGCTGATTCGATGACGAAGGCACCACCATGGATGTAGATGAAGAGGGACATTTCTCATTTGGTTTGATTGTTTTGGGAAGGAATAGCCATGCTCCTACCTTGTTTTCTAGTGAGATGACGACATCTTTTGATCAGACACTACTGGTGACAGCGTTAGGATATTCCGAATCTGACAAAGGGAGTTTGACAGAACTTTTTGACGGGGCTATCTTTGAATACACAAAAGAAAGGAAGAAAATTTGGTCCTTTTTTTTTCATAGAAGTAAAATTGAGGTAAAATTGTAGTCGATTTTACGTGTAATCACATTGCAGGCTCCAACAGGGGTAAAGATACAATTCAAGCCAGAGTTCAAACTCACCATCTTGAATTAATCAACCACTTTAATGACTTGAACATGAACCATGGATCCTATGGTTGCATCAGGTGTGTTTTTCAGTGAATAGAAAAATTGCAGAATTTTGCTGTGGTTGATGCACTATGATCACAATCATTTTCTTCTTCTAGGTTTAGCTTTAATTATGACATAAATGCTGACACCAGAGGCAAGAGCAATGCCATCAGTTCTCACTGCTTCAGGTGCCTTGCTTATGGGCAATGCTATTTGGCACCAACAATGCAACAAACGAAACGTGCAATTTAGCTAGCGTGACACCACTCCTATATTTATTACTATTTAATTGTTAATATCGTATAGGTGAGGGGCTTTTTTGCCCCTCTTTAAGTGATTTTGCTTGTAGGTGATCTGACAATAAGGAGTAAAATTTAAATTAGGGAAATGTTACTTTTGCTGATGGAACCAGCCAGAAAGCAGAACCAACGGAATTTTAGATGAGGAGACTTTCTTAAATTGAGAACGCAGAGAGCAAAATAATACATGACAAATCTAAGAGGATTCTTCATGGAAGACTCCCTAAACACATCTATTTTAGCACCAAATGTTAAGCATTGTAGAAGATATCCTCAATACATGTTTACTTTCTCACATCAACCCATTTTGTAATTTAATTGGACAAATCTGACCTTGCACTTCTCGACTTTGCCTGATGTAGTACAACCAATTTGACAATTGCAAATCAATTTGAATTTTGTCACATGAGATGGTAGAAGAAGAGGAAAGACATGCCCTATTGAAAATAATGATTTGATTATAAACGTAATTGCCACTTTTAGAAAATTGAAATGATGAATACTATATGCTTCCGAGAAAATCAATGATTTATAAGCAAATATGACCCATGTGCATATTTTTCCAAACCACGTTGCAAATAAATACTTTTACTGAGTGTATATTTGTGTTTTCAGTTAAAATCTCCATGTAAAATGACAAAATCATAATAAATTTCAGACTGCTTGATTAATTGTTTCATGTCCAGAAATATTGAAAAATTTAAGAGATAGATTGATCAAATTACACAATGAGAAAGACATAATAACAAAGGGACATTTTTAATGGAGGTATTTTGGAACTAATATTCATTTGTGCACACGAATTAGTAGATCCTAATTATTATAACTTAAGTTGTACATGCACTAGTTGGCGAAAATTTTGATTCTTCATCCTACTAGGAATGTAGTTTTTTTTTAAAAAAAAATATTATTTGAGTTGCATCATAAACAAAAATGTCAACCAATTTTTTATATTCTCAACTATTCTTTTATCTCACATACATTATATTACAAAAAAAAAAAATACTACAATGTTATTCTAAATAATTTGTCCAAATGTTATACTACAGTGTTACAAGCACCAATTAGACAAATCAAATTCAAAATATATCATTGACCATAATTAATAACTGTGATAAACGAATTACAAGTAACTCAACCCAAGTTGCCAAATTGTGACGACTAATCCTTCCCATTTTGGTTTCCCAATTCACATTTTCCAACCGACCCGTTCCAATTTACCGTTGGAACTCGGGTCACACTCGCAAGCCAAGACTAGCCGTTTGCCAGGAATCAGTAGACGCTATATATATGCTCGTGTCTGTATTCTTACTTTCCAAAAATTCAAGAGAGATAGAGAGAGCGGGATAGGAGAGGGAGAGGGAGAGGGAGAGGAGAGGGAGAGGGAGAGGGGAAGGGAAGGGGAAGGGGAAGGGAAAGTGAGGAGAAAGATCAGAAAATTGGGACGCATTTGTTTCTTGGGAAAAGAGTTGCCTTTTTTTTTGGGGCTTGATTCTGTCCAGAGTTGGCTGTTTTCTGGAGCTGTGAAGAAAGCTTTTTGAGGAGAAACGATTTCAGGCAAGTATTATTTCTCTTCTCCTTTCTATTTTTTGTTTCCTTTCCCTGGAGATGAGATTCTTCAAATTCCGTGCTTTCTTGCTATGCATATTTGCTTTCAATATCCATTATTTGCTTTCAATTTTGACCTAATGGCAAATTTTCAGCGAATTTGTCCGATTCATGTCTTTGCTTTCAGTGGGGTTTAGACCTAGTTATATTGAATTATGCTTCCAATTTAGTACTGATGGTGTAGATTGTTTATTATTTTTTTCAAATTTGTTTGAACACTCATAATTATTGCGTCTACTTTTTACATGTTAGAAACTGAAGGTCTTAGAGTGTTGATGCAAATTGAAATTTAAAAAAAGAGAAATAAAACGAAATTAGTGAGCAGTTGTTTCTCCATGGTTGTTTCAAGCACTTTTGTACCCCTACAAAGATTTCATATCCATATCAGTAGGCCAAGAATTCACAAAGTGATATACAAAGGCTGTTAGTTGACCTATGAATGAATGAACTCCTGAGATCAAATTTGCATTCTTGATTCTTCGAATTTAAATTTTGGCTCTAAGAAAGCCCTTCAGTTTATTACTATCCGTTGCACCTTCTTAAGTGCAAGAGGAGCCAATTATGCATGCCTAACTCCTTTTTTCTGAAAATTGAAATCTAGTGCTTTTTTAGGCGCACACTACTATAGGCATCACCCCCACTTAATTCCAGTAATTTCATTAGTCTATATCAACAATCTGCAGCCATCTCCCAATTAGATTTCAAATTGTCTTGTGTGATTTTTTGTTGCCTTCGTTGGGTTTTAGCCTTTAATGTTATGTGGCATAATTCAAAAACATGAACTGATCTCATGGACTGATTGTTCACTTTGTTTCATAATTCAGTGTCAACATGATTAAAAACAGTACCAGTATTAATCAAAGCATTTAAAGCAGGTTGCATGTAATTATTTACTAAATATTTTGGCCTCAGATAGTGTAGTTGCTTGACTCAAAACACCTTGTGGTTTAAATGACGTGCCGTTTGCCCTATATGGCTTATTTCATCGACTCATATACCTTTCTATTCGATAAGGAATGGGTTCTTTTTTTTGTAAGCCAAAAGGGGATAGATGGTACCATATGGAGTTTTTTAGTCTTTCAAGTACACTATCAGTGGCCAGAATTCTTTAGTGAATAATTTCTTTGTTGCCTACATTAAAATCTTTGGCTAATACTTTTAATGATTTTAGCATATTGAGACTGAAATCTGAAACGTTACTGCGCGATTAGTACTTGTGTCAGTTTATATTTTTGAACTATACTGCTTATCAGTAGAGATTGAAACCCCATAGAGAGAATAATGAATCACACTAGAAAATTTTAGTTCTGATTTAGAAATGGCTGTAGATTTTGTCAGAGACAAATGAAATTTTTGGAATGAAATGGCTGTTGATTGCTTTTTTTTTTTTTTTTCAAGTTTGTTGAAGACTAATAATTGTAGTGTCTACGTTTTACATTGTATGTTAGAAACTGAAGGTCTTAGAGTGTTCTGTCTACCTCTCTGTTTTGGTTCTGGTTTAAGCAAAATTACCATAATCTTTTATGTTGATGCAATTTGAAATTTAAAAAAAGAGAAAATAAAATGATATTAGTTAGCAGCTGTTTCTCCATGGTTGTTTCATGCTTGAAGGGTAGTCATATGGGATTCCGTATGGTGGTTCTTTATTCTCTCATTTGGGTTTTGATATCTCATGGTAAACGGCATAATGCAGAAACATAAATTTAGCTCGTAGACTGCTTGTTAATTTTTTTTTGGTATTTATAATATCAAGACAATTAACAAAATCCAGTGAAATATGAATTAAGGAATATAGTGTTGGCAACTAGTAAAAGATTGACTAGATTTTATGGCCCCAGATGGTGGAGGTGCTCCAATCACAAAGCTCCGATGGTTTAAATACTATACCATCTGCCCTTCATGGCTTATTTTATCTACTCGTAAATCTATCCATTTGGTGGGTTAATGGGTACTTTTTTTTCGTAAGCTGCAAAAGGGTAGAAGGTATATTTTTAAACCAAATGGAGCTTTTGAGTCCCGCAACTAGACTATCCAGGGCCGAAAAGTTAACTTAATACATATTGCTTACTTTTAACACTTTGGTTAGTTTGACTACTGCTAATCATTTTAGATTGAAGTATGGAGAACTTTGGATTTTCTGTTGCATGGTCTGTTCTCACTGTTGAATTGTACAATTTGTCATTTCTTGCTTTATTTTTGCATCAGCTGTCGTTTGTTCTGCTTAGTACACTTACTGAAAGACATGTAGCTTGATTACAATAGTGCTGCCCAGGCATGTTCTGTAGTAATTTGTCTTGTGAATGATGGTATTCCTTTGTCATATTGCATTTGATATTTAACTGATCTTGGTGATTGTATGGGGATTCTAGGAAAAAAAAATGAAAAAGATTTGTTTGAGTAAGTAAAGGCTTAGAATGGATTGCTAATAATTTCTTTAGTTGTTAACTGGCAACAAGACTGTTGCTGTCTTTCATTTAGGCTTTGAATTTTTCCTTGTGACAATACGCATGAGCCACTTTTGGTTTCACTGTATACCATCTGCCCAATTGTTAGGTAAAAAGTATTCTTTTGGTTTCGTTTTGGTTTTACCCAATTGTTGGGTAAAAAGTATATGTTTGCCAGTCAACAGTATCTCTACTTATTTCTATCTTCCCTCTTTTGTCAATGTGGAACTCTGAATGGAAATCCTACTGCCATTCTTAAATGAATAGGCCTCTCTCTTCCCTCCAGGTTTCTTTTCAGATGACTTAACAGATTTTAGCTTTGTTGCTGATTTCTCCATTTGCTCCTACTTTTTCCTTGCAGGAAGTTATTTTAACAAACTTGTTTCCTTCCTTTTTCCTTTTCTTTTTTTTTTTTTTTTGTAATCCTTGCTTTCTTCACTGTCATACTTTCAATTCCGTTCATCTGATGCCCATTTATTCTTCATACTTAAATAGGAGTCAATCTGGGTATACCCTCTTGCTGAAAAGTGTAATTTCATAGTATAGTTGTATATGCATGGTTGTCTTCTACTTTAAGGCAGGAGTTGGGCTTCTTTTGTATTTAATTGTCCATGCTCAATAAATACATGTTAGAAACTGAAATAGAAAGATATACTCCTCGGAGGACCTGATTTTTGAACTCTTCTTGTAGGTTTAGAATTTATTTTACCCATTTTTCTAAATATCCATATATCTTTCTAGTTATTGTGAAATCATTTAAAGAAAAAAAAAAAAAGAAACTTCCAGGTCTCTTAATATGGCATAAGTGATTTATTATTATTCATTTACTGGCAAATAGGATGGTCAGTTATTACTGTTAAGTTCTGCAATTTCGACTTTCAAATTCCTGCACGATCTGTTCCCTCCTACAGGAGTCCTTGTTTCTTAGAATTCCTTTACAACTTGAATTCAGAAGACATGTTGGAGGCAAAAAAGTATCATGATATAACTGGTGCTTCGATATGACTTATCAATTCTCTATGCTGTTCATTTGGACTCTTGGACATTGTTGTGCTTTCTTTGACATAGCTTCTGAAAGTCATATCTCAGGGAAGAACTTTCAGCTTCCTGACAGCCCAGTGGGATGGGCCTTTCTATCCATCATGACTTGTCTTCTACTCTGATTTTCCTCTTCAATTTTCTTCAAATTTTTTAATGGACTAATTACTTTTCCCAAGGCCCTGTCTTTTGGTTTAATGTCTTAGGTAAAGCCCCCACTATTTAGTAGGTGATATCCCATTTTCCTATTTATGGCTTTTCTTCTTGTAAACCTCTGAGTATTTCCTAGAGACATAATGGAATAGAATAGCATATCACAAGCACTTTTGTACCCCTACAAAGATTTCATATCCGTATCAGTAGGTCAAGAATTCACAAAGTGATATACAAAGGCTGTTAGTTGACCTAAGAATGAATGAACTCCTGAGATTAAAACAACATCAACCTCAAATTTGCATTCTTGATTCTTCGAATTTAAATTTTGGCTCTAGTGAAAGCCCTTCAGTTTATTACTATCCGTTGCACCTTGTTAAGTGCAAGAGGAGCCAATTATGCATGCATAACTCCTTTTTTCTGAAAATTGAAATCTAGTGCTTTTTTAGGCGCACACTACTATAGGCATCACCCCCACTTAATTCCAGTAATTTCATTAGTCTATATCAACAATCTGCAGCCATCTCCCAATTAGATTTCAAATTGTCTTGTGTGATTTTTTGTTGCCTTCGTTGGGTTTTAGCCTTTAATGTTATGTGGCATAATTCAAAAACATGAACTGATCTCATGGACTGATTGTTCACTTTGTTTCATAATTCAGTGTCAACATGATTAAAAACAGTACCAGTATTAATCAAAGCATTTAAAGCAGGTTGCATGTAATTATTTACTAAATATTTTGGCCTCAGATAGTGTAGTTGCTTGACTCAAAACACCTTGTGGTTTAAATGACGTGCCGTTTGCCCTATATGGCTTATTTCATCTACTCATATACCCTTCTACTATTAGATAGGGAATGGGTTCTTTTTTTTGTAAGCCAAAAAGGGATAGATGGTACCATATTGAGTTTTTGAGTCTTCCAAATACACTATTTGCGGCCAGAATTCTTTAGTGAATAATTTCTTTATTGCCTACATTAAAATCTTTGGCTAATACTTTTAATGATTTTAGACATTTTGAGACTGAAATATGAAAGCTAACTGCCCAATTAGTACTTGTGTCAATGAAATGGGTAATGCCTAGAGCAGTGAGGGCCTAAGATGGCTGGATTTTAATTTCTAGAAAAGAGGAGATAGGTGCGCATTTGACTTCTCCAGAAATGATGGTGCCATGGATACAGACAAAGGTTTTCATTAGAACCAAAGTTTCAATTTTAAGAATCAACAATGCAAATTTGTTTTTGATATTATTTGGGTCTAAAGAGTTTGCTTTTGTGTGTTCCAATTCTTGGGAGGATTTCACTGGTCAACTAGA